TTATGTTATACAATACCATAGATTTTAGATCGATTGGTGTGAAATTCTATTGTATACCGTTTTGTGCCAATTTTAAGTATGTTCTCACTGCATTGCTAGTTATAGCAATTAATTAAACACTTCAAGATACAGTTATGTTGTAAAATATTTGTTTCTTACATTACGCAAGTGTTTCTTATATAATTTATAGAATTAGTTATATATCTCCATTATTACGTTTATGTATGAACTATTTCAATTAGCAAACCTAACTGCCTACGTTTAAAAATATGGTATAAGTACAAAAGTTTGTTCGGGTAAGGATTTATTTGTAATAGTTACACAAAGAGACGACAATTTCTTTAATTAAAAAGATTTCAAGATAAATGCCTACTTACAGGAAAAATTATATTCCTAAATAACCACCCAAATATACTTCTTCTACTTATAATATTATAACTTATCTTCAAACCATTTTAAACTGTAAAAGAAAAGTTTTCTAGACTGGAATTTTTTATATCGATAAAAGACCGCGTATAAAAATACTTCTACTTACTTAAGAAAAATATATAAATTGAATTTAGTAGTTATAACCTCAAAAAATAGTTCTCAAAACAGCGAAGGTTCAGATCAGTGTAGGACACACCTTAGCACCTAATAGGTATCTACTTATACTGTAAAAAGCTACCATTATCGGTAAAACATACGTTATAACGACTAACCGTTAATTACTGTTAATTAATGCGGTAATAGCTACTTTGCTTTGTGATTTTTGGTGTGAAATTACATACTGTTAATTAACACCTAATCGGGCACTGTTATTTTACTGAATTCTTCCTTTTTTATTGTAACTAGGTTCTAATTATACAACGTTAGGTATGTAAAAAGAACTACTATATCTTTATATCTCCACAAGTATTTTCAAGTGTACAAAATGAGGCAGTATCCAAATAGTTAAATTATTTAACAAATCAGCCAAAATGTGAAAAAATAATCGGTAAATTGTGAATTGACAATATATAAATAAACAAAAATTGTCCAATTCAATAATGTCTATTTTTATTATAATATGCTAATTGTCACTGGCCATAAATAATCAGGCTCCTACCAGAAACAACGACATCTGTTACATTCATTTCCCGCCAAAAGCACCCACGCACAGATAATAATCATTGACTACAAAGAGGGATGTACCATAAAATTGCATAGTCGATTGAGCAGAAAAACATATGTTACCGATAGTGTTGTGACGGATTTTATTATTTTTATCGAACTCATATGCTCCTGTAATCACTTATTGAAACACGCGTCAACAGATTTTAGTATTTAGCACAAAAAGGGCTGACATTATATAAAAATATTGTTTACAGTCCACTTAAATCAGAATTCTTGTTTATTATTTAAATGACAATTACAAAGTTCTCACAATAAACATACATTTTGTACAGAACCGTTAGGTTTATCGGAAAAAGCAACAGGTAACACTATCACGCTTTTATGAAAGCTTTATCTCTACAAGTGCAATAAAAAAGCCATTATTTCGAAATTATTTTGACGTTGTATTCTTTAGTTTTATGTGACCTTTTATCGTAAAGGTAAGACTAAAAATTTGTGTTGCAACATATTACATACTGATAGATAAAACCTATGGCAGCTTTTCTTTTTAAAATATCCCTTAATACGAGAGATAATGATCGTTTAAAATGATGTTTACGTACTAAATGCCAAGTAAATAGTAATACCAGCGTTACTTTCTGTTCTTTAGGTGTATTCCACTAGATATAGAAGTTTGTTTAACTGACAACACCGTACAATAAGAAACAAACAAGATTTTAAGCACGTTAAATAACTTTTTATTTCATTGGTATTTCGTTCGAGTTAATTCGATGTAAATGAATAAATCCTTTAATTATACATTCGCTTTCACTTCAATTAAACACCTATACATGTTAACTTTGTGTTATACACTGCAATTCTGCAATCGCATTTTCCAACTACCACAGACTAAAAACTGGAAAATCCGAATTTGGTAGCTCGTTCATTGATATTGAAATCGATTTCCACGAAGATTAAACAGAATGTTGCCAGCGTGGGACTTGCCGTAGTGTTAATTAGTCTAAATGTAAACAGTTTCAAATCGACTGCACTTTTTAATACGCTTATTGAAGCTTGATTAACTTACAACTGTTTGACTTAGTAACAAGTTCTTTAGGGTCATATCAACAGTATTATTATAGGTTTTTCGACATAGAAGAAAAACGTTTTAGGGCGGAGGGGGGGTTTGGTCGTAGACGAGGCTAGTTATAGTTAATATTACATAATAGCAAATTTAGTCCTTCTTATTGTTATTCTTATTTCACGTATTGTTTTCTGTCCCTAAACATTTATGGCTTTAGCCCGCATGATAACAGATTTCGGAAAATACAATGGCCACTCGGAAATTAATAGACTAAAACTGAAAACGACTTTTTATAGAACGAATTTCGACAGTTCTTCCAATTTAGGTACCCATAAATATCTAGTGTTTCCCATAAAATGTTATAATGATTTTCCCAAAAGGAATCGAATCGAACGATCATATTTATCAACAAGCTCAATTAACTAGTAATTAGATGCTGCCTTCAAAGATCAACATCGACTACCTAATACGTAATCTAATAAGATCAAAGCAAGCTCAAACGTGTATTACTTGACTACTTAAATCAATCAATTAATGTTTAATCTGTACCAATTAAAACAAACAGATAACTTATCTGTTTGCATAATTTCGTCAGCCGGATATCCGTTATCAAAACTAGTCGAGTATAACTGGACAAATCGAATAATCGTTACAATCGAGCGTGGTTAATCTATCGAGTTACAATCGTTTAGTGAGTCAGGCCTCGTTGAACTAACAAGATGGCAAAGCGTGGAAATTAATGGGAAAATAACACCATAATGAGACACAGGACTGATTTTATTGGATGTAGTTTACGTAGACGTTAAGAAAACACTTTTACCTTAAGCTATATAACAACCACGAGCGCACAGATGGCGCTAGTGTAGCAGATAGATTTGACTTTGACATTAGAGAGACGCACCCTATTCTAGCTACTGAAAAGTCACACTGATATACTTTTTTGGCATTATAAACCGTTAAAAGTGTTTTATTTCATAATTGAACATATGCTATCTACTCCAATATTTCCTGTTTATATAAACAATATTAGTATTCCCAAAGTTTCAAATTCCGATTATTTTTAGAATCGATATAACTAATAAAACACTTTAATGGTTTAAAACGCGATATATTAGTTAAACTTATTTGGAACTGATTTTTAACTTCGGCCCGACGTCAGTCTCCCCGGGACCACGGTTGCTGCAAAGCATCCGAAACGTCGGGCCAAAGTTAAAAATCAGTTTCAAATAAGTGCAACTAATATATCGCGTTTTAAACCGTTAAAGTGTTTAATTTAAATGTGTACTACTTGCGTAAAGTATAGACAGTATCGATATAACTCTTACCACATCACTAGACAACCATCTTATAGTGCAATGCAGAATTGATCCCTCGGTCTGCATAAACATATATTAGCGAATGCCTTATGATAATACAAACCAGTGAACCACTTCAATTTAATTAATACAATACCAAATAATTAAAAATACTGATGAAACGACAAAAACAAGCGAACATACAAAATGATAATACTTTAATTCCGTTACATTATTATAAATCCACTAATAACCTGACTGTTTACTATTGCGTTAAGTGCAAGAGATCCATGGTTCAATGTCCGGGGAAACATAATAAATAGCTTCGGCCAAGCATAGCACCTACTAATAGATTAGTGAAATTGATAAAAATTTTTGTCTTCCTTCACGTAGACGACACGGAAGATGTTCTACACCTTAAAATTAAATTAAAACACATGCAACTTTAATATTGCTTAGTTTAGTATTTAACGATGTATCTGTAGACCTACAATAAGTCTTTCTCTTTTGAAATATTTTTTAAAAAGTTATGCAGTATACGATTTGGAGTTGGAATAAACAGACTGTGCAAAAACTATAATGAGCTGTCATCGAAGATTGACATTGACATAATATTTGACATATCGCTTACTTTTAAAGGTTATTTAATGTATTTTTTTAGTACTGTATATTGTGAATATGGCTCTTGGTATGTTTACCGCCAATTTTCTATACAATTAGAATTCACGTTATTGATCTGGTAAATATCTATTTCCAATCGTATGTATAAGTGTATTTCTATAAGAATAAACACCTTAAAAATATTCGTTATCTGTACACCACACCCTTACAGCACCGAGATGTAGCCAATAATTTGATAACAGCTCCCCGGGGTGACAAGGGTCGCGCCCTTTTATGTATAACGACCGTAAAGTGAATTTAATAGACCCGGCTCGACGAGATTAGCTGTTACTGGGGTCTTACACGGAGTAAATAATGTTTACAGTCATAAAATTATAACAAACACTTTGTGTATTGAATGTCATGTCACTTTCCAATACACAACAATTTTAAAGAAAAAAATCTTAGTAATGAATAAACATATCTTTAGCTTTATATCTAGTGTTCTACACCTGTGTAGCTAAATGTTTGAACGTGTTGCATAGCATGGCGATAAGCGCGAGAAGTTCTAGGTTCGAAGCCCAGAAAAACAATAGATTGTTTCGGTCAGACGTTGCACTGCAGTCTGGTCAATTGACTGTAAATAAAACCGATCAGTGATGCGAACACAGAATTCTGTTCGCCAAACGGGCTATTGAAAGAAATATATAAAAATTAAAAATTGTTACTCTGTTTTCTCAATGGGTTATGCATACGATTTTTATTGATAAAAGTTTGATGTAGTAAGTACCTAAGACAAATTAAAATAAGTGTTTTGTAAACATAGGATAATCTGTATTGTGGCGTGTCGTAGCTAGACTATATATTTAAATAGGTTTTTATCTGAAAGAAGAATACAAGAAGAACGTATCTCCATGTAAGCACTTCGTTAAAATATATATACTTACCCGAACTCGGTCTGTCGCTATACCTGGTGCAGTAAACCCAAGCTGGCCACACCATAGGACCTTCGCTACTCGTCGTACCTAGAACATTAAAAAGTAACGTTTAAAAACGGTAAAAATCAATCAAACTAAAGGTCACAATTATTTTTCGTTCTTCCCCAGAAACGCAGAACTAGCATAAACTATCGTCTGCTCCAACACCTAGTTTCGTATCCAGAGGACACAGAATTGATATATCGCTCAGAAGTCCTATGTTTAATGAATCTATACTAATGTATAAAGCTGAAGAGTCTGTTAGTTTGGTCGCGTTAATGTCAGGAATTACTGTTTCGAATTTAAACATTATTAAAAAACATGTATAAAAGAAGGGTTTCTCTATAAATTATTTAAAGAAGTATACTATATGTCTAACTTAAGATTAACTATCTAGAACGACGCGATGCGAACGACGTCGTGGGTAACAGCTAGAATTTTTAAGCCGAGAAGGTCGTTCGCAAAGATTAATTTTAATACCCAAAATAACTATTCAACGCGGACACAGATAGTTAGAGAACTAAGATACAAGATTACAATATTGACTGGTTGGTATTAGTACTCACCCCCACTTGACGCTGGATTACTATTATCATCTGACTTAGATAAGTCTATCGCACCCTTATCACTAGGCTTAACTTCTGGAACTCTAGCTTCATCTGGCTTTTGCACAATAGGAACTTCCTTCTTCCCCTCAATCCTGGCCTTCAGACTCTTTCTCTTATTCAACGGATCTGTGATTCGTCTCCCAAAATCCGCTTTCAATATGTTATCTATGCTAAACTTTAAACAGTTCTGATTAATGAAATCCCTTTCGGATTCCTCTGGTGATTTCGGTATGAAATTCTGCCGCCTGTTTTCGTTTTGCGTGTCTCTCCTCGTGTAGTTCAGCTGAGGGTTATATGGCATCCTTGGTTTTAGCTCCTGGTTCATTAATGGGTTTTGAAAGAGTAGCGGTTGGTTCAAAAACATTAAAGGATTCGGTGTGATTGGATTCGGTCGCAAGAGCATCGGTTGGTTGACTAAATTCTGACTAAGTTGCGATATAGCGTTCAGATGAGTTTGTATATGTTTAAATGACGTAAGACCTTGGTTGTCTGTTCTATCGTAGTTTATTGGAGCTTCATTGCCGACTGATAGGACTGTGTCGTCACTACAACAGGAATTGTCATCAACGCTGATTTCAGTTCCGTTCTCGTCATCCAATCGCGGGCTCACGCTTTCAGAATTCCTCGACGTTTGACTATCTTCATAATTAGGTGTGTTCTGTAAAAGTTTGTCTGTAGAGAAAACGTTCTCTGGACTGTGGCTATCTCGTTCCTTCTTAAGAACATTGTGTATACTGAAGGGAGATGTGTGTATCTGCCGTTGTTCGTCGTCTACACAGTCTGGAGTGGGTTCTCGTGGCGAGAATGGTTCCTGTTCATCATCGCTGTGGTCTTGTATCTTGATTCGATCCGGAATATGTGCGGAGGAGACCGCCGCCATTTTTCTTTATGATTACGCCATCTGAAAACAAAAGACGGTTTATTACTTGGGCAGGTTTGGTTGTACTGTAAATAAATTCGGTGAAAAAAAACGGTTTTCCGAAAAATCTATTTGAAAGAATTAATAAATTATATCTTAATAATAGAAACAACTGTTTCAACAACACTTATGTCAATATATTAATTAATTACTCTGTCTGCGTGTTTACACGGTACGCGGAGTGCGTCATCTTAAAATACATCATGAATAAATTATAAAAAAAGTGACCATGGCGTTAAATAGATTAAAAAAATAAATTAACAATATACACATATTGCGTTTCAAACTGTTAAAAGTGTTTTATTTAAATGTGTAGATACTACTTGCGTCAACTACAGACAACACTTCTGCAGAGTGTTTTACTGTAGCGTCGTACTTATTAGTAACTGTCTTTATACAAATATTTCTCTACCCACGTAGTAATGAGTGTAAGAATATGTAATTGTATTTATTTTTATCAATTATGACAACAATATAGGATTTCTTCAAGAGCAATGAGTATCGATGTTGTGGTCGGTAAGACAAAACGGGTTATACATGCATTGAATGATGCTCTACTTCGAAATATTTCTTTACGAATATTAAATGGACATAGGTCCTGTCTTAGGAATTCGAAATGCAGTAATAGGTAGCTAACAGATAGGATATATGAACTTAAATACATGACTTTTAAATATTTAAACTATTCCAGCACAATTTTTACAACATAAATTAAACATTTTAACAGTTTAAAACACCAACATCAGTAACTTATATTTAATCAAACTACAAGCCGTATCGTGCGACATAAGAGGTAATATATTTCACGTTTTAAGCCGTTAAAGGTGTCTTTTAAATTTAAATGTGTTCATCTCGCGTAAACTATATAATTTAAAAATCGAAAATAAATTGAAAAAATTTTCGACTCGGGCGAGACTTGAACCGGCATCGTCAGCTTTCCGTGCTGTTGCTCTACCAATTGAGCTACCGAGTCCCGAGTACCGAGTCGCGTAAACTACTAAACTATTTAGTATTTTTAGCTCTATTTTTGTATGGTGTGTAAGTCTCCATGCTTTAAAACTAACAATGCAAAGCATGTAAGGCCCGAAACTCTACGATGAAAAATTGGTAGAGACGTCGAATGACAACACAATAACTGTAGTAATTGTTTTTATGTCAATTGTCTGAAATGTAAATTACTTTTATATAATCTTCAAGGAGGTCTAATAAGTTTGCGTGCTAAAAGACATTGTCGTAAACTTGGATTTTTATCTAACAATCATAGAAAAATCTTTTCTAATGGCTTCAATAAAATCGATTAAAAACGTAATACCGATAAAAAATGCAGTGGCAATTGTTTTTAATTATATCGTTATAAAAGCTAACCGGATAATTAACTCAACACGTTATCAAGCGTAATGTAATAGATGGCAATAATTCATAGACTAATAATACTAGTGATTCAGCACGGGTTTCGTTAGAGATTTTTAACGATTTCAAACGTAAAATATAGCAGCACCAATATCCACGTAACCGGATTTGTAAAGTATTAAATTATTAATTTCGCATAGTACCTAGTAAGAATATGATTCGTGAAGTGCAGGCAAGTCAAAACGATTTTTAATATCTTTTCAACCGAAAGAGTCCTTATGTTAAGAATAAAATGAAACTTTTACTGTTTTCCACAGTATTCGGATCCTCGTCTGTCAATATAGCTTACATTTTTATTTAAAAACAAATGATGTCATAGCTATCTCTTAGTTGGGATTATGGCACTAGAAAACTAATATAACTAAATATAAGGTGCATCCAACGTGAGTTTTAGACTCCTTCAACAACTTCAACAAGAGTTTGAGAAAAAGATATAAATTATAAAAAAGGATTTAAATAAAACACTTTAACGGTTTAAAACGCGATATATTAGTTAAGTCTCCCCGTGACCACGGCTGCTGCAAAGCATCCGAAACGTCGGGCCGAAGTTAAAAATAATTTTCAAATAAGTTTAACTAATATATCGCGTTTTAAACCGTTAAAGTGTTTTATTTAAATGTGTACTACTCGCGTAAACTATAGACAGTATATAAAAAAGGAATTAGAAAAAAATTTCTAATCATATAATCATTCCTTTATTTAATATTAGTGTTAATTACTTAAGTTTATATAATTATTAAAAAGTCAAATACTTTGTAGTAGAGCATACTTAAAGCTGATCTGAGGACCACACACGACGCCAACGAATTTCTCCTGTCCAAATTTACTCGTGCATTTTACAATCAAATATCGACTCTATTCGTCTGTAATACGAGTTATAATAATTGAAGAAACATAGATTATTATGGAAATAGATTTTGACAGCTGATATTCAATTTTGATTTCTATTGTATATTTATAAGGTATAAATTCGGATGATAGAAAATTGCAACTTTAGGTGTTGCCTGTTTCGTTTAGTTTGGCTTCTTATTGGCAACCCTGTCGCGGGTTCAACTCAAGACCCAAAATAGGAAAGGCCACGGGACTTTCAAGGGGATCAACTTTCTTATAATGCGCAATATTTAGAAATTAGTATAAAAAATATATTTAAATAAAACACCTTAACGGTTTAAAACGCGATATATTAGTTAAACTTATTTGAAAATGATTTTTAACTTCGGCCCGACGTTTCGGATGCGAGACTAAAACTACTAAACGACTAAACTTTAACTAATATATCGCGTTTTAAACCGTTAAAGTGTTTTATTTAAATGTGTACTATTCGCATAAACTATAGACTTTATTCTTATGATAGGGAAGAACATGATGAATGGCAAAATACGCCGGCCATATACAAGATGCGCGAACGACCTATTTTTGGCTTTAGACATTCGGAAAACCACAGACTGCGACACGATTAAGCAAGGCTTTATCATCTGTGGACGGTGGTTCGTGATCCGGAATTTCGATATTCCCACCATCTATCGAATGTCCAGATGAAGTACAAAATGTTTCAGAATTATAAATCGGTTTTAGAAACATTTTGGACATTTGGACCCGTTGATTATTTCTGCTACTATTAGACCAACGAGAGCGCCAAAAGCGCGTATGTGAGCTCAATACAAATGCTGAAAAGCCGGTAATATTGATCGTTATCTAAAAAAATCCCTATGTATGTACATGGACACCTCATAAACGCATTAACCTTAACTCGACATTCTTTAGCATAGTTTATGACACCTAGTATAATAAATTTGTCATATTTGTGCAACACGTCGGGTCAAATATGGTATGATTCGTATTATACCTTAATAGTCACGCGTTATGACCGAAGGATATTATTTATGCTTATCTTGGTCATCGTTGGTTAAGTGTCGATTAGCGCGGTCACTCAATGGATGGGGAAACGATAGCCTTAAGAGCTAACATAATAAGCTAACATGTAGGGTTTTGACGTCAAAGACACCCTCCATCTTTATTGTCCCCACGTGAGCATGGTTGCTGCACAGCCATCCAGCCCACGCCCCAGAAAATTGGACGTTACGTAAGTCTGTAATTGACGAAAGAAGCATACATTTATTTTTATTCTTAGTAACACATTTTTGTTTGTGATGGCAGTAGTAGATGGCTTAGCAGGTCACGCTTTGCCATTAGGGAAACCCTCCATTTTCAGTCCCCCCGTGACCACGGCTGCTGCAAAGCATCCGAAGCGTCATTTTGTAGTTAGAACAAATTATAAATAAGTTAACTAATATATTTCGCGTAAACCATTAAAAGTGTTTCATTTACTAGATTCTTCAGTAAACGTAATATTTTGTTTGCTAGATTCTACAGTAAAACACAATGTCAGCGTAGTCACTCAATAGGTGAATTGACACCAAATTTTTTAATAAATTTACAATTACATCAGGCAACACAACTGGTCAAGCGTTATCATTAATTATTCATCAGTATTAAATAGTTACAGAATAACACAACACTATTTACACAGTTTAATGATCCAGAACGTATAAGTGGTGTAAGTTATGGAAACTTTTTAGCCCTGTGAAGTGTTGGCAGTTTATTTATGTCGAAACGGTAGCCATATAAATAATTGTGTTGATTCGATTATTGACACAATCGATACCAATGGCGATACCAATGGCGATACCAATGGCGACCTAACAATCGATACTCAGTAGGTCGCCAAGAATGTTTCCTAACTTTGGAATATTTTTGGCACGTGTTGGCACTATATACATTAAAAATCGATTATTATTTGAAAATCTAGCATCTATAGCATTCCGTGTCGTTGCTCTCACACGTTCAAGTCCGGGTCGTGTCGTTTTTTTTTTATTATAATAAAAAAAAAGACACGACCCGGATTTTGAATTTAGAATTCTTCGTCTTAAATACTGTCTATAGTTTACGCGAGTAGTACGCATTTAAATAAAACACTTTAACAGTTTAAAACGCGATATATTAGTTAAACTTATTTGGAAAGTATTCTTAACTTCGGCTGCTGCAAAGCATCCGAAAAGTCGGGCCGAAGTTAAGAATAATTTCCAAATAAGTTGAACTAATATATCGCGTTTTAAACCGTTAAAGTGTTTTATTTAAATTCTTCGTCTTATTAATGCCCTACAGTTGAACACTATCCTTTCTCCAATGAAAGAGCTTCAATCTACCATACTGCTTCAGTGTGGTGTGGTGGGCTTTAATAACTGCCACTCAATTAGTGATGATATACCGGGATATATCCTCCTATACCTATCTACTAGAAATTCTTAGCGAAATTCCTAGTAGGTACTTAAGGCATCAAACACCGGTAAAACTAACATTTTGTGATCTTTATTCAAATGACTAAATACTAGACCGGAGGAGCAGGACTAGGAGGCAGTTAGGACAAGTATTAAACTAAGTAAAAAAAAAAAGTAATTAAAAACAGAAATATTTATTTAAATAAAACACTTTAACGGTTCAAAACGCGATATATTAGTTACTCTATATATACTAACTAATATATCGCGTTT